TCTTCACGCTCAACACAATCAACAAAGCAGTTGAATTGTTTCACAGCCTCAGTTTTAGTTTAATTACTTAAGTTTTTTATCACGTGTGTGTGGAAAGAGACCTGTGAATCTAAGGAGTCATTGCCAAGTGTGCAGAAAACTTCAATGGAAAAGACTGAGGAGTAAATTGTTGGTTTTGTCTTAATAGGATGCTAACTCTGAAGCAAAATTATTTAATTTGTGTATTAATGCTTTTAAATTTATTGCTTGTACTTGTTTCAGTTAATGTACCTGGTTAATTATTTGCTTGTTTCACCAGTTCTCTCCTTCATTGGAGAATATGCTTGTAGAAGTGGGTTTGGTGATTGGTTTCACCAATCCTCCCTGTATTCTGCGAAGCTTAGTAATAAGTGCTCTCCACTTTAACTCTGGGTTTTCTCTGTTTGGGATTTCCACAAGGATATGACTCCTCTTTTTTTTTTTCCAGGCTTGCTGGGGGCTGAGTGTGTGGGTTTTTTATTGATTCTATTTGTTTGGGGTTTTTTTTAGCACGAATGTAACTTGCTGGCCTAAACATGATGGTGAGATATTGCTGTGGCTGTGCTGTTTTGATTTCCTAATGAATTTGCAAGTGGGTAGTTTCACATGACTCGCCCTGTAAATAACGAGCCGCACCCTTCATACAGTGATCCTGGACGAAACTCGCTGTGTGGATTTTCCTACCATCGTTCTAGTGGCTGCACGGTTTAGGGGAGGAGGTAGGTAAGAGAACAGGGGCTGTTATCTACTTGTGTCCTAACCGTCAGCACAGGCTGCACTGTGAGCAGGAAGATACAGAGAAAGAGGAAAGAAAGGATGAAAGGGGAGAAGGAAAATGAGTTTGAGGAGAAATAGAGAAGAGGCTTATTCGGGAAGATGGCAGGTAGCATTAGCATTGCTAACCTCAAGAACTGAGAGGCATGAAATCAATTTTAATCTATTTTTTAACTGTTGAACAGATATTTAAAGGAGGAAATGAAGTAAACAGAATTTTAGGAGTGTACTCTCACCTCTTATTTAATCTGTCATTCTGTGTTAAAGCTTCCATGTGTGTGTGCATGCATGTATGTCTCAGGTGGGATTAGATTTTGTTTACCCTGACCTGACTACTGCAATTGAGGATCTTCTGTTCTTTGCTCATTTTTTAAGTAGAACTGTCTTCTCCTACACCTTATGCATTCCTTTGACTCTTGGATTCAGTGCTCAAATGACTTGATTTTTTTTAAGAAACCTGATTTCTTGCTAGGTTTCTTAGAGAAATTGCTTAACAGTTCTGTCCCAGACCTTGCATATGTAGATAAGGATAGATGTCTCGAATATCAGCTGATATAGCTGGCAAAAGAAATGCACAAACTTTCAGGAACAAAATCTCCTTCTTTTATAGTTAATAAGTGCTCAGAAGATACCTCAGTGCAACTTTCTAGTTCTCATGTAGAAAAATAAGTTTTCAAAATATAGAAGGAAGAAATTATACTGGGTCACTGTAAGTTGTCATTAGTACAAGCTATTTATATAGAGTAAATGTAATAAAATAAAAAAAATAAATTGTTACCTTACTTGTAATTTTAAGAAGTGTAGTAGCAATTATACAGTGCCTTTAATTGGGATTTTTGGTCTGAGTACTAGAAAAAAAAATACATAAAAGGCAGTCTTACAAGCTGTTCCATTACTGGCAGCTCGATCTGTAAATAAGCCAATTTTGGAATAAATCCAAAACAACAGCATAAGGGGAAAGGTATTGTTGGATGGTGTAGTGAAATGGGATGGGGGTTTTCACCTTGGGAATTATTTGCTGAAAATAGCGGATGTCCTACCATTAAGCTAAAACATAACATGTTTAAACATCCTTCTACCTGCACATGGAAACACCTTATTTCAAGGTCTTGGGTCATTGAAGTGTCATGTTGTAGCTACTTCTGCAAGAAGGGCTTTTAAAACAGAAAAAGTAGTCAACTATTAATGTTTTTTGGAAACTGGTTGTAACCGGATTTGTAATGGTAACAGCTTTAAATGAGGTTTTGTAAGGGTTGCTTGTAAACAGGGAAAGATGGAAAGGTGACAGTAGATGACAAACCAGACTGTGTGTGCAATATTCTGGTTAAACAGAAGGAGTCAAGAGTGGAACATGTGGTACATGGACAGCAGTGGACAGCAGGAGGAAGCAAATGTGTGCATGTATACATACATATAAGTATGCCTATATAAAATAATACATAAAAATAAATGAATGGAATGAGTCAAACACTTATCCTGGAAAAGGACAAAATGTGTATGGAGAAGTAGTAAAGGGCAGTAGTAAAGACTGTTTACCAAGAAGTTTGAGGTCTGATTTGATCTCTCTGAGAACCTGGGAAAATTCCAAGTTGATTCTTCCTATGTGATAGTCTTCTCCACAGACAGCAGAGAGGGATTTGCACAGATGTTGTCATGTTGAGTGGTGCTATATCTGGTAGCTTGCAGCTTATCTACAGAAAAAACCAAAATTTAATCAGGAATTACAGGCCATGTTACATCAGAAAGTAAGTCAGGAAAGGAATGGGTGATGAAATCTACCTCTCTGCAACTTCTGAAGTTATTTATCTTAGACTATCCAGAGTAGCTTTTATGTAGTATTCTTCTATTGCTGGTGCCCAGAATACTTTACCTGAATTAAGCTGATTAAATTATTGTATTTAATTGGCCTTGCAGCTCCCTGTGTGTGTTCCGATTTGTGAACAGCAGTGCTGAGTGTGGCATGCATTGCTGGATGTTTATTTTGCTTTTCCTGCTGCTGCTGTACAGGAGCACTAAGGGTGCAGGCTGAATTGCCTTTTTGAGTTGCTTCCACTCACCTTGCAAATACATATTAAAGAAAAAAATGAAAGTCAGTCATTGTGCTTTTGTGATTATAATGTGGAAAGCCTTCTACAATTGAATTTTCTCTTGAGGTTACCTCTAGTTTTTTGGGGGTATTTTGACCCACATCTTTTATTCAAATCTATGTGCTCTTCTTTTTGATCCAGATGAAGTCTAAATTTGCTGATTGCTGCATATCTCTGTAGGCTGAGGTCTTGGCCCTCTAGGAGAATGATATGGCATTGTCACCTCTCTTCTTCTCTTGAAGTGAAGTAATCCCTGTAAAATGACTCAGAATGGCTCTGCTAGAGCCATCTCTGTCATGTTCCAGGCTGTTCCTTTAATGTCCTCCTTTGGCGCTTTCTCTCTCCATAGGCCAGATATGCACGTGCATGGATTTTGTCTCCAAACCTTTTTTTAGCTTAATCCTACCATGGCTGTTTGTTCCAGGTTTGTTTCTGCTTTTTTTTCCACTGACAGTGCCAACTTCAGCTTTCTGCTTACGAACTTTCCCCACATGCTTTCCCCAGATCTGCTGTCTGCACATAAGGAAAAACTGACACAACCTGTGAAATCACTGTTTGAACATTCAGGCTCTTTTTCAGATCTCACCTTTGCTATAATGCATACAGAAAATCACCATCTTCTAAGTAGGTAGTGAGATGAAGTTGTGGCAGGTGGCTGCAGATGGCATACAAATCTGCTGCAAGTTACATTGATTATCCCATCTTTTATTTCTTTGCCAATACAACAACTCCTTTTGCCCCCCTGCGTGCCTTGTTTTTAGAGTATAAGTTCTTTTGGACAGAACTTTTTTTCCCCCGTTGAGTGATTTATAAGGACAGATGCTTTGTCCTGAACATGAATTTCACCTAACCTGCATGTTTTAAGGAGCCTGTGAACTAATTCCAACAAAATAGAGAAGTGGGAAATTCAGTTTTAAGCGGGGACATCCTCAACCAGATCAGGTTGCTCAGAGCCCTGTCCAACCTGGCCTTGAATGTTGCCAGAGATGGGGCATCTACCACCTCTCTGGGCAACCTGTTCCAGTGTTTCACCACACTCATGGTAAAAAAGTACTTCCTTATATCTAGTTTGAATCTGCCCTCTTTCAGTTTAAAACTTACACCTCATCACTATACTTCCTGATAGAGTCCCTCCCTATCTTTTCTGTAGGCCACCTTTAAGTACCAAAAGGTTGCAATAAGGTCTTCCTGGAGCCTTCTCCAGGCTGAGCAACCCCAGCTCTCTCAGCGTGTCCTCACAGGAGAGGTGCTCCAGCCCTGTAATCATTTTTGTAGCACTCCTCTGAACCTGCTCCAGCAGGTCTGTTTCTTTCATGTGCTGAGGACTTCAAAGCTGGATGCAGTACTCTGGGTGGGGTCTCACCAGAGCGGAGTAGAGTGCAGAATCGCTTCCCTTGACCTGGTGTCTGCTGCTTCTTTTATGCAGCCCAGGATATGGTTGTCTTTCTGGGCTGTGAGTACACATTGCCAGCTCATTTCCAGCTTTTCAACCACCAGTATCTCCAAGTCATTTTCTGCAGGGCTGCTCTCAATCCTTTAGTCTGTACTGATACCAGGGATACCCCTGACCCATGTGCAGGACCTTGCACTTGGCCTTGTTGAACCTAATTAAGTTCACATAGACCTACTTCTTGAGCTTGTCCAGGTCCCTGTGGGTGGTGTCCCATCCCTCAGATGTGTCAACCGCACCACTCAGCTTGGTGTTGTCTGCAAATTTGCTGAGAGTGAGCTTGATCCCACTGTCGGTGTCATTGGTGAAGACATTAAACAGTCCTGGTCCCAGTATGGAGCCCTGAGGGATGTTATGGGGAGCTGTTCAGTAAGTTTCTGAGAGCGTAACATGATGCTTTATGCTGATATTACAGAAGGTCCTGAATGAAAAATGCAGTTGAAGTAGAAACTTGAAAATGTTTATCTGCTGTGTACTTGGACTGGTTTTCGTACTTCAGCAGTGTGCAGTGTTAGATTTCGTTTCAGTGTTATTTCTGGATCATCTTAGTTTTCACTTTTTGCTAGTAATCTTAAAATAGTCTCACTTAAAAGATTTCTAAAAAGATAATTGTGAGCATGGATCATTGCTGCAAAGTTTGAATCATTAGCTGTATTCTGCTGTTTTTGCAGGACTTCAAGAATATGTTGAGGCAGTCTCATTTCAGTATTTCATCAAAACACGATCTTTGATTAGTGTTGAAGAGATCAACAAACAACTAATATTTACAGTGGAAGACAGAGAAGAAACAACAAACACGGTATGTTTTTCTTTTCTCATGTGGCAAACATCTTTCTGGGATGGAAATGCAATGAGTAGGCTTAGTCAGATTTTTGGCATCTGATTAAATAAGGCTGGTTAGTAGAGGGGTATTGCATATACATGTGGGCTTTGACTCACTTGTTCAAAACATGCTTTTTATTCTGACAAGTAGTAAACTAAATCCGTGGGATACAAGTTTATAAATTTCATATCCTTTATATTCAGAGCAAACTGAACCCCTTCTGGTAGGGGGAAAGATCCAGGATACTCGCAAATAAATGTAGAGGAGGGATTTTTAATGGCTGGGCCTGCCTGTATGTGCTAGTGGTGAATGAATCCAAAGCAGGATGAACTTCATGAATGAAATCTTACAGGACTTGTCACAGGAGACGCTGTATTCAGCTTCTGTTAAAATGTACCGCGTATGTCTTAGCTTGGTCATTTGTAACTTCCCTGGAGTTGATCTTGACGTGTCCCCTCAGAGGACAAGCTCATGTCTCATCGTACCGTAGCCCTAATACCATATCTCTGATTTCTTGACTTGCCCACATCCTACCCTGCACTAAATAGAGCCTTTTGTGTAGGGACAAGCTGCTGCCACTGACCCCAGTAAACCGAGTACAAGTTTGATTGCTGATAGGGTGACAAATGGTGATTTTGTAGTAATGTACAGAAGTGCATGTGCAGTGCACATGAAAGGTACAGTAATGCACAGCACTCCTGCTTTAGCTGAATTCCTGAGTCTGCTTCCATTGAAGAGATTCTGCTGTAAAGCACTTTTTATTCTATCTTGGTTCTCTTGGTAGGATATTTGCAAAGAAGCCAAGTTTTTAGCATAAGTTCATTTGTTCTTACCCTTCTGACCAGATTTGTGAATTTGGGTGGAGAGCACATTATGGGAACAAGGGTACAGAAAGAAACCTGTGTTGTCTCCCAAGGTACCGATATTTTGGCAATAAAAAGCACTGGAAGCTTTGATATGGGAGCAAACCTGTAATTTTTTGATGAGTTTTCTTCATTAAATATTTTTTTACCTGTTTTAATGAAAAATTAATTTTTTTCTTCTAAAGCTTCTTGTAGAAAATATATTTTGAAATTCAAGATACTATTACAGAATCATATGATTTGTTTTTATAATGCAGACTCTTTTCTGATTCTTTGGACAGACCGTTTAGGGAAAATTTAAATCCATTAGGCTGAGATCTGTCTGCCAAAAAAAAAAAGCAACTGCAAATAAATGTTGGTCCAAAGATGTGGTAATTCTGTTTGCAAACAGCGATGGTAGAGGCAGTGTATGTCTGTCATGTTTGCTAGAATGGAAATCAATTCTCAAGTGGAAATTATGATTTTATGCCTTCTGGTATGCTGGAAGGAGATTAGTGCTTCTGAAATCAGACTGTGTGGAAGTGCCACGCAATTTTAATTTTCTGAAGTGTTTTTAGTTACCAGTTATTTTAGAAAAGTTAGCGTGTATTTGAACCATTGTAGACTGCTTTTTTTATATTTCTCAGTACGGGACTTTGTTTTGTTCTGTCCTCAGACCTCCAATGTCCATGAAAAGCAACCACGCACTTGGAGCCTGAAGGTGACACCTGTGGATTACCTGCTGGGAGTGGCGGATCTCACGGGAGAGCTGATGCGGCTGTGCATCAGCAGTGTTGGAAACGGTGACATAGACACGCCTTTTGAACTGAGCCAGTTCTTACGTCAGATTTACGATGGCTTTACTTTCATTGGCAACACTGGACCTTATGAAGTGGCTAAGAAGCTGTACACCTTGAAGCAGAGCCTGGCGAAAGTAGAGAATGCCTGCTACACGCTAAAAGTACGGGGATCTGAAATCCCAAAGCACATGCTGGCTGATGTGTTCTCCACCAAAACGGAATTGATTGACCAGGAGGAGGGCCTGTAAATAGCCTTAAAATAAGGAGACTGTTGTGACTTGGAAGGGAAGAGGACTTAGAGAAAAAAAAGGTTTTTAGTTATGGTTTGTGGGGTTTTGACGCTTCTCAAAGCTTTTCAGGTAGGGACAATTTTAGTTTTATCTATGAGAATGTTGTTTGCAGCGGTAATTTGTAACCAAAAATAATTTTTATGATGTGCAAGAGAACGAATGTTTGACTTTGTCCTCTTGATATGGAATTTCCTGTATTGCTCCATTGTATCTTCTTTCAGAATAACCAAAATCTCCACTGAGCTCTACACCAGTGACTGTCAGTTGTGCGAGTCACCTCAGACTGTTGTGGTTGCTGTTATCAGTTTTCAGCAAGCACAGCTGTGGAAAAAAAATGGTGAGGTACTGTTATTTAGCATTATCCCTGTTATCTTAGTATTTGGGTTCTATACTCGTGTCATACCTAAAACAATGCACTTATGTATGTGTAAGGTCATCCTGTGACTTGAAACTGAGGTGGTCTCAAAGGTGCCATGCAACTTCAGTTTTTTCTGATTAATGCTTTTTTGCATGAAACTGAAGCAAAGTCAACTTTTCACCAATTGATAATGAAGCTAATGACACTGGGTAAATAACTACTGTGCACTCGTTATTTTGGGGCTCCATTTAATTGAACTCTGTTCAAGTTAACACTGGTACTGCATAGTTTTGATGTAGCTAGGAAATCCACAAGAAAAATAACTGTGGAATGTACTGGTTTACATTTTTTGTAATACAGTTTAATGCAGGATCTGACATCTTTCTGTTTGCAGATGAAAGCAGAAGACCCACCAAGCGTGTTTAACGTGAATAATTTGCTGTTTAGGACAAGCGGTTTTTGGCCAAAACAAATGTGGCGTGGTGTTGGAAGTCTGTTCTCCATTGTTTGTGCTGCCCTGAGGACCTCCAGTGGGGCTGAACTGGTATAAGTGGAACAGGGCTAGCCAAGCTTTAAATATCTGTTTGCAGGAACTATATCGTACACGTGTTCCTATGGAAAGGAAATTGCAAACAGAAATAAGGCAGACATTCTGACTTCCACATTTATCTTTGAGGTGGGTATGTCACCGCTGGCAAAAAATCAGGGCTTTCTGCTGGTGTCTGAAGTTATGTAAGTCTGATAATGTACATTATGCTAAAGGAAAACAGATAAAACAACATGATCTTTAGACTCCAGGAAATAGGCCTCCCAGCTGCAATTTAAAATACTGCATGTTTTTTATTTCCACTTCCATATGCTGTGATACTGCCAATATTTTTCCCATGAGCATGTCCTGAGTAGCTGGGATTATCTGATGTATGCATAGGAATGGGTAAATACATTTCTGTCACATTTTTCCATTGTTTCCACATAAAGCAGTATGTGGTGGGTTGAAAAAAAGGAGTGGTTTTTTCCCTATTGTTTAATACTGTTTTTTACAATAAATTCAAAGCAGTCACTGCCTGTACTTTGGGTTTTTTGGGTTTTTTTTGTTTTTCTGATGGGAGAAGGGGAAAAAGGAGAAAAATACTTAATTAATAAGGAATGGCTTCGTTTGTTTTTTCCCCAGAAATGTATGCATCTAGTATTTCAGTTGATGCAGGTAAGAATATAGCTCTGCATCTTTTGGCACAGCTAAATTTACTGCAAGTAACTGCACACTGAGTACACGTGTGTGAAGCAAAAGCAGACAGAGGTACTAGAGGTATTGTGTGATCTTAAACAGGTCTGTGTCTTGTCTGTCCTAGCAGCTATCAGGTGGAATGTAAAGATTTTCATGGCACAGATCGAAAAGGGCTGAGCTGAACTCCAGCCCGTGGCAGTGCCTGGCTTAGCGATGCTCTGTCTTGTCATGAACACGCACATGGTGGCCACTGCTTTAGTCAAACAGCTCCTGCTTTTGTATTGTCATGCGTTATATTAAAATTACAGATGTCTAAGATGTGTACTTTTTTCTAGCAGTCTTCAGAGGTTCTTTCAAAAAATATGTATTGGTTCTAATGATTTTGAAATTTACATTTTTTGCAAGGCCAGAGAAAACTTTCAAATGACAGATGTGATTTTTAAACTTCAGGATGCCTTTCCATAATCAGAAGCTGTGAATCATTTCTAATAGGGAGCAAAGCGTGTATGTGGTGTTTTAAAACACCAGGACAGATGGGAAATAGCTAATGGCCTGCAAACCTCCTGCTCAAGGAAATATTTTCCCCAAAAAACAATTACACTGTAGCTGTTTGAAAAGTGACAGACATTTATCAGCTAAACAAGCAATGGCAGTTTTCCCATTTCTTATCCCATTACTCTGTGGAGCTATTGATATGCTTGGTCTAGGGCCAGAACAGGACTATGTCATAGCAGATGTTTCACGAGGGCAGCTCTGCGTGCTAAAAATCATCTGTCTTTCTAGAATCTCCTTTCTCAGAAATGATTTTTCTTTATGGGTTCACTTTTGTCCTGACTATTAATATGCAGTGAGGAAAATAAACCCGACCGCATTTAGCTTTCCAGAACCGCCAGAGAAGTTATGCAAGAGAAACTTCCTGTTGACAGGACACGTATGTCTGTCTGCCGAGAGTCCTGCTTGTGGTAGGATTTTCAGTGAGTTTATTGAAAGTCAAAAGCAAAAAAAAATAAATACGACCTTTTATAATATTTAGCATATTAGGTGCCTTACGGAATTCTGTGGACTGGATTCTGGCACTGCCCTCAAACAGTTTGCAATTTAAGAGTAGGCAAAAAAGTAGCCAAGACAAACAAAAGGAAGATGGTAGGAAGATGAAGTGACAAGAGGAAGACAGGATTTTTACCAGACGATTGTGTATGGTAGTAGATTGGTTTACCACTTCCCATTTCGGAAAAGAAACTTGTCAAAACTTGAGAAGCTCTGGAGTGTGACAGCAAAGGGTTATTTGGGAGGGGCGAAGGCAGTGGAGAGGTGAAATGGAAGGAAGTGAGGTAGAGACAAAGCGGGGAAGAGTGTTGAGGTGTGGGGCAGCGTGGAGGAAGAGCAGGCTGAGCAGCAGGACAGCGGGTGCACGTGTGAGTGGGGTGGGACTGGGGAGGATGTGGGACAGGAAAGCAGCCCTGCAAGAGGTTGGAAACAACGCTTCTAAACCAAGTGACTCAGCTATAAAAGAGACATGGAGTTGGCTGTTGGAACCAAATTTAAAATGACCACAAGGTCTCCATCTCTCCTTGGATTGTAAATAAGGGCAACTTGATTTTCTGAGCAGCTGAGAACCTGTGGGCCCTGGGCTGAGCAAGGCTTGCAGGCTTCCAGCTGTGCCGTCACAAATCAACAACCTCTCAGTTCCCACCACCCAACTTCCCATGCACATTCCCTTTGCTCTCGTATTGGTAGCCACAGACCTTGATGTGTGAACTACCACTATTTGCAGCTGTTAGAGACATGGTTAGATACAGTTTTTAACATAAAGGAATGCTTACGGTGACCACTGCTTTCCCCTTGTGTGCTGTTTATGTGTCCGTTTCGCTGGCATTGCTGCGTCGACCCCCTCTCTGTTTCTTCCCTTTCTTTACTTATCCTTTCTTAGTCTGTACTGTTCTTTTGAGTCATTGCCCACGTCCCATCCCATGTTTCAGTCCTTTCCATGTTTAGCTGGCATCCTGGGGCAAAACATCTCCATGCAGGAAGAGGAATCGCTTGGTTTCTTAGGTAGGTTTGCCTACCTGCATCTCCAAATTTGGAAGCAGTGCTCTGGCTGTGAGGGGAGGTCTGGTAGTCCTGCGCTCAAAAGGCCTGGTGCGTGTGTCATGTGGCAGCCATGGTGCCGTGTGTCAGGATGGATGGGTGGCCAGATCTCGGGTTGCTTTTGCAGGTGAGCAAACCTTAGTTATTCTGAGGTCTGCAATCATCACGAGCCTACAAACATGGAAGAAGTTTCTTCTCCAGGTCTGAGGAAGGTTGTCTTTGAAGACAAGATTTCCCCCCAACCCTACCTCTTTTTACCTGACCCATTATTATCCCTTTGAAAGGCCTATTTGTAGAAGGCAGCAGAAGAGACTCGCCTACGACTTCTTCTGGAGCCAGCCGGTGCCTCCCTGAATGCTGGCCAAAAGTGATGTGATGGTTCCTCTCTCAGCTCCTCCCACAGGCTGGGCAGGCTGGCTCTGGTGTCTGTCAGGCCACCCAGGAGCTGAACTCTGAGCCTCTGCGGTTGGATTTTGCAGACCAGTGACATCTGGGTTAATCCTCTTTTTTTTTCTTTCCTATAGTGGTGGTGTTTTCATGCCACGCAGATGTTTGTTCATCTCAAAGAAGCCGTTGTGTAGGCTCTGCTCCTCCATCGCCACAATGAGTCAGATGAGCCCATCATAATCTCATCTGCTGCAGTGCAGGTTTCATGGGACATCTTCTGTCTCTGGGCACTTCTCCCACAGCCCTGTGCTCTCCTGCATGCTTGCAAGTCTCTTTGAATCCAGAAGGGTCCCGTCACTTCCATTTAATTATTCCTCAAGATCCTCTCATTTGCTGGACCCAACAAGAAGAGCTGACAGAACTAACTCGCTCATAAGTGGTTCTGGAAATAGCCCAGGTTTTGTTAAAATGAGCTTTTGCGTGCTTGGGGCCAGGAACCAGATGGGTGAAGGATGCACTGGAATAGACAGTCCTGGCAGTTTCCATGACATCGGAACACTGTTCGGTGCTGGCAGTCTCCTTTTAAGGGAGAGGGTGTTTCTCTCCTTGCAGCAAGCACTGTTGGTAGGTATGTTCTGCTTGGTGCAGGCAGGGCGGGCCGGCTGCCTGCTGACACCTGGCGGTGCAACGCGTTTCCTTTGCCTTCCTCCCAGAGCCTTTTTCGCAGGCGTCTCAGCTCAGCCTTTTCCCCAGGAGCTGCTGTTGAAGAAATGTCGCTTTACAGGAGCAAGCCGTAATTAGCCGATAATTTTGATTCCTATTCCTCAATACGAGCTACCTGTGCAGGGTTCCTAATGATTTACAGCTACACCCATGTTTCTAAATCACCTGGGCTCATTTGAGATTTCTTACCTCTCTACAAAAACTTTGTTCATCTATTAAATGTTGGGATAGAGTTTCCCCGGGTCCTACTTTAAAAATGTGTTGTCTGGGGGAACAGGAGCCATGGGCACCTGTGGCAGGAGACCTACGGTTGTGACCAAATTGTAACACTCCTTGTAAAGA